GTATTTATTATTTATTTAACAGTGAACGAGGCTGGATGCTTATTTGTTGATGATGTATTTAAAAAAAAAATACACAGGCCTAGTTGTGGCACTATGTGGCGCGCTAACATTGCTTAAAGGACCAATCTGGGGTAAAATTGATCTGGGGTGTATTCCTGGATGATCCCGAGTTGAAACGTGCCTTGGGAAGCAAAATCATGCGAAACGGATGTAGGGCTTAGACAGCTTCAGCGCATACTAGCCGAATGGCTCAAACAGCTAACTCTAAGGGCATAGCGCGGAACCCCACTTAAAAGCTATTGTTTAACCCACTTCCAGTGCACAGAATTGCACCACACTTTGGTGGTCGACTGCGACGGGCCCTAACATCAAACCAAAAGCATCGAGAAATTCTGAGGTTATCAGAGAGTTTATTTAAAAAGATTGTTTCACGATCACCAGACGATTAATTGCGCAGCCTTAGAAGGTCATCATGTAAATTTATTGATTGGCTACCAGGTCCAACAACAATAATTGTGCATAACAAGCAACAACTACTTTAAATACTCTCAGGGGGTGGTGGAAGAAGTATTCAGAGTCTTTACTCAAGTAAAAGTAGTAATACCATACTGTGAAAATAATGCGCTACCAGTAAAAGTCCTGGCTTAAAAACCTTACTTAAGTAAAACTCTAAGAATTCTTAGTTAAAATGTCCTTAAAACTCCACAGTGTAGGATTTAGTAGCATGTAGCGGTGAGGTTGCAGAACTGAAACTTCTACCATGTACCAAGCGTCACTACAGTCGCCAACATGAAAACATGAACAGCCTTATCAAGAGCCAGTGTTTGATTTGTCCCTTCTGAGCTGCTGTAGAAACAACATGGCGGACTCCATAGAAGAAGACCCGCTCTGCATGTAGATATAAACGGCTCATTCTAAGGTAACGAAAGCACAACAACTGACTGCAATCTAATGAAAAACAGTTATGAATATAAGGCTACAAACCATTTCATGTGGTGAAAACAGTTTCCATGACAACTGAGCAAACTCCATTGGCTGATGTAGACCATGAGATGCGAGAAAAGGCTCCAGAAAAAGCCAGGAAGTAGACCTTGAGTTTACATAGTTTTTGTCAGCTATTTACATTCATTATGAAGGTGATCATGTTAATTTACTTACAATAATTATTGTATATATAACTATTAACAATGGATTTGAAATGTCTTATCTGTCTTAAATCTTCCATGAGAGAGCATTTTTTTTATATTCAGGATTTTTTAGTGTTGTTTTATCCTCTGCATGGAAAATTTGAGCACCTACCCTCCAGACAGTGATAGATTTGGAAAGGCCAGGTGTAACAGGCCGAAAACTGTTAAATGCTGATGATGACTCAATTGATGATTAGTTGCCCTTTTAACGACTGGGGGTTTTGGTGATGACATAGGCTTACTTTAGGTTTCCTGTTGACAGTAAAGTGTATTCATGTATTTTGTCATGTTTGTCATTCTTGAGTCCGTTTGCCTACGTCTCTGTAGGTAGCTCTGTGTTTTTCATCTGGCTGTAAGACATTTCCTCTCAGGGCTGATCGAGTTGACATTAAAATGATGTTAAAAAAAAAAAAAATTCAATTACAATCGTACTTCAGTAAATGTACTTAGTTACTTTTGGCAGGTGGTTGTCAGGTCTTTAAGCTGAATTTGGTTCAGCACATCTGGCCTTTAAATTAAGTCAAAACCAACCAGCTGAGCACCTGAGACTAAAAATAGTGATGCATTATCTTCAAAACCTGCATCTCTGACATCACGTTGGAAACTCTCCCTCTCTGATGTCCTCTGTGTTAACAAGGTGGGCCATTGTCGTGGGTGTAGAGCAAAGATAAGCTCCCTTCCTCCCTTGAAGTCCATCAGTTTCTCATTAAGGCCGATTCCAGCTGATTATTTTGACATTTCTTAAGTGACAAACCTGCTGCCTGTCAGAGCAGCGTGCACCAGATCTGGAGCGAGGCCCCTTTTTCTTTTGATGCTACATCAACAGCCACTCCAGCCGAGATAAAGAGAAGTGAACCCAGATGTGTTTTGACCGGATCTGCAACCCTCTGCTGGGATCACGAGACATGTGTCTCCAGATGGCGAGGGGAAATCTCCGGATTTTTTTTCGCCAGATATGGAGAGATCCTGCTTTAGACCCTGTTGTTTTCTTTGCTGCCCGCTTCCTGTGCTCGCTAAGCTTTTTATTCAAGTCAAAAAAGGTTAGACAAGGCAAAAGCGGTGAATGAAAACAGATGCCGGGAGGCCGCGAAGGTACTCGACTTCAGCAGAAGTCATTTTCAGAGAAAAGGGGAAGTCTTATTTTTCTATTGGTGGAGCTTCTCTTTTCACTCTGCGTGGATTAAGTGGGTTTACTTTGTCGGAGTGAAGTCAGAGAGGGATGTTCAGATGTTGAGCAACACTCATGAACCACAACATTCCTGTAAACTTTTTCTCTGTCTGAGCCCTTCTTTCTCAAACCCCCCTCAAAGTTGCTCCATCAGCTTTAATTAAACATTTGTGTCACTCGCTTGTTTTGTCTTTGTTTCTCCTATCTTTCTTCACACACAGACACATCTATCTTTTGATCACAGGGTTCATGTGCAGCTCTCAGGTGATGTCATCCTGACCCCATAATCAACTCTTATCCTCTTTCTGCATCAGGCCTGACTGTGTCTGACAGCACAGCACCGTGTGTCACATTAAATCCTACACTGTGGCTTATTATCATTTTAGCACCCAAGTAATATGTTTTACCAGTATAATACACGGCTGTAATGTTTTCTCATTTTGTTTACAGACATTCATCACTGTGTTGGTGTGTCCGCCACAGGAGGGCAGCCGTCTGTGGCGTCGTATAAACTGTCTGGCTCTCTGAGTTATCCACCATGTCTGGCTTGACTCACACGCCAGCAACTTGTGGTCAGTGACTAAGGTCCTCCTTCTCTTCTTCGTGCATCCTATTCCACCCAGAACTAGCACAAACTCTTGTATATTTTAGGCAGGTTGCAGCTAATGGACTTTTTGCTGTGTGAATCAATTTCCTGTGACAGCTGCCTGTTGGTGGTGCATCCTGTCTTCTACAGAGAAACACCTTGTATGTGCAGTTTTCTGACGGTATGACTGGATGTGACCAAACATCACATCAAACACCCTTATGACCGCTGGAGCTAGAGCAAATGTAACATGGGCTGAGAGCCGGAGGCGCCCACGTTGCTCATACCCAATTATTTACAAAGCTGCATGCGACCTCATGACAAAATATGTTGTTCAGTTGAAGGCTGCACTTTAGTGTCTCCAGGCCGCAGTTTCACAGCCTGAGGCCTCCAGTCTGGAGCGCCTCATGTCCAGCTTGTCGTGAATGCAGACCAGCTTCCCTGCCTGTGTAGCCTACACAGGCAGATGTAAACCATTAACCCCCTCCCCTGTACAGTACCACCACTACCCCCCTTTTTTTCTCAGAACAAAGCAGCTCAGCTGAGGTTTCTGCCCCTGCATGGCTCGATCTCCCCCTCCTCCCTCACAAGCCACAAGAGTTAAGACTCATGACATTTTTTCTCTGGATGAAGTTTCATCTGTTGTTGCAGTTTCTGCTCAGACGGACAGCTCTGAGTGCAGAGCGATAACCATCAGGAGTGTTTGGGGAAGGCAGAATAAACATGGGAACATAAACAGTTCCTCCCTAACTACTGGAAGATTAGAGACAACCTCCATTAGAAAGACACCACAGATATCAGCTATACTTTCCTGTTGTGATACAAAGAGTGGTGCCCCCACATTTTGTTTTTCATAGGGGTGGCCAGATGGGGCTACTGAAAATCTTGGGGAGGCACATCAAAACCAAAAGCCATAACTGAATTTCAGGGATTCGATTATGCTGTTGAGGCTATATGTGACTACAGGGATTGCATACCGATATACTTTAGTTTCTTATTTCACTGTTAATATGACTAATTATCTAACTACAACATTTTGAGTTCCTAATCAATACTGCTTTAATGTGTTATGTAGCTGTATGTACACACGTGACAATTAGTTGTTCTTCAAATAGGCTGGTAGACCTTTTCCTTTGAAGGACAAATATACTGCTTTAATTTAGTGGACCTAGCTAGCACGAGACGCCAATATGAAGTCAGAAAGATGTTGGATTCTTACGTTGGAGAGACGTAACATTTTGGTTGGAATGAAAATCGAGTTAATGATATTTTGAATGTCAAACTATGTTAGCATGTCACATAGCTGGGTTTTGTTCTCCATACCTTCGAACTAAATGTCGTTATTATACATCAAGATGACGTTAGCATGAGACATTATGGAAGTCATTGGATTTTGGGGACTTCAAAGCACAACTTTAAGCCGATAAAATATAAGCATCATCAATTGGCATTAGCCTTTGTCCTGACATTGAATTTTGGTCACCCTATGTCACAACCTAAATACAATCGAATAGCATCGTTTAATGACATTGCTAGTGGGCTATTTGGCCTTCTAAAGTTTAGAGGAGACTCATGGGTACCCATAGAACCCTCATCTTGAGGTGAGAGTTAAAGGGACCCCTTTAAAAATGGCCATGCCAGTTGTTCCCTCGCCAAAATTTAGCCTAATTTTCAAGCGTTATGTAGCCACTTTCCGAAGAAGCTAGCATGACATAGTTGGTACCAATAGACTGCTGGGGTTGTCTAGTTTCTGAACGTACCACTATCATCTTGCTTGCTTAAAGGATGAGCGCCATAGCCCTTTAAAGACAATAGTATCGGCCTCAAATTATTTTTGCCAGGCAGTGGGGGGACCAGCAATGGGTGGCTGTGGCCCCCTTGGCCACCTCCTGGGGTCGCCACTGGATACAATAAGGTTTTGTAGAAAGTTATAATTAGAAAACAACTAAAAACAACATTTGAAAGTTAAGGAAACTGACAGATTCAAGTTGTTTACTCATAACATATTGCATTTTCATTGTTTAAAGTAAATGAACAGTGATTTTTCCATTCGACTCACCTCTGCTTTCAGTACATTCGCAGTGACGGAGGTAAAACCAAAGCAGCAGAGACCACAGGCCAGGGTTAGGAGCTGGGGCAGCATTCTTCTATCTGCAAACTGCCCCGGAAAAAGAAAAGATCAAGAAACTAACGTTCTACAAAACTCCCGCCGTCCTGACTGCAAGTGACGAAAACAAAATCGCTGCTCCGTGACGCTTTTAAAACGTGGCAGAAAACTTTTTCTCGCCTCCGCATGAACACTTGAACGCACCGGGCAGCCTTTGTTTACCAAGCGAGTCCTCTACAGTCAGAGCTGAGCTGAAAACACCGAGCAAAACCCTAAAAGCATCGGACAGCTGTGACAAATGCTCAGCTGGTGTTGACTAAAGCTTCATAGTTTGGGCTTACTGTCCTCTGGTGGGGTTGTCTACAGCGTGTGGACGTGGTCACGAGAGAAAGAGAGAAAGGGAGAGAGATGGATTTTCCTCTGGGTCCTCCTCCAGATGTGCAGACGTCATTTTTTTTCACGGTTGACAAGGTTTATTAATGTGTGGATTAATGATACATAGACAAATATGACCAAGACAATCTAAAGGGATCCTACATCATTGTAAAGAAACATTGAGAAGATGTTTAACTCTGTGGTTTGATTTACTTTGACTCTTTTATATGTTAAAAGACAACATTTCTGTATTTAATAGGGAAACTAAGATATTTTAATGCTAAGTAAAATATCACAATTTTAAAAAACAACAGCTCCGTGACAAGTAAGAGTTCTGCATCCAGAATATTTAACTTGCAATCCTGTTTAAAGGAGCAGTGTGTGGGGTTTAGTGCCATCTGGTGGTGAGGATTGCAGATCGCAACCAGCTGGTTACAAACCAGTGTTTGTCTGTTGCGGTTTGAAAGATTGCAGACAGGCCTCAAGCCCAACACCTGATGGTGTATGCTCGCCTTTTTCTTTGATAACTTAAGATCCAGATGTTCAGGAGATTTTTAGCGGGTAACTTTTTGGATAGTATTCAAGATGCTTCTACATTTTTCGTGATAAGTTTACAGATTATCGTTTACATCCTGCGTTATTGACTTTTAATTGTCTTGCGGTCGCTGACATTTTAAGTACCGTTTCATCTCATATGATATGAAGCAGCCTACTCATTCATGGTTCTAATGATGTCGCTCGCAATGTACATCCCCGTCTCTTTCACATGAACATGCTCGAGGCTGGATAGGAAAACCCAGAGTTGACTGAACTAGTTGATAACTAGCTTTGTAGTAGTGGTTATCCAGACAGCAAATGTTAGGATTAGTCAAACCTGATAATGAAAAGATATCCTGAGTAAGTTGAACTGGCTTTGTAGTACAGGCCTCAGGTAATTTAAACCAGTGACAACATGAAATAAAACAGTTTTTACATTGAAAAAAATCAATGTTTTGGCCATGGCCTTTTTTCACTTCATTTAATGTATGTTTCATCTTATAGTTACCTTATGGATTATATTAAACAAGCCTCCAGAGCTGTATGAGAAGTAAATGAGCTCAACCTTGACCAAGATTAAACGCTACACACTCATGCATCAGTAATATGGCAATATAACCCTACCAAACAGGGCCGCCCATAAGAGGGAGAAAGGGAGAAGCTTTCAGGGGCCCACCTACTAGGGGGGGCCATGAAGGCCAGCAAAACTTATGTTTATTCTCAATATGAGCACTGATGACCACATTTTATTTTGGACCTGTTTTATATCATGAAAAGGTCTATGGTTGACCCTTAAATGGGATCAAGTGCAAGAATTTGCTTACGGACTACCAGTAGTTACTGGTACCAACCATGTTAATATATCTTGTCAGAAAGGGGGCTGTAGGAGCCATGTTGAGTTTATTTATTTATTCTGTACCTCCAAAATACAGGGGGCAGTATTTCCTTTGTTTACTGACTCTACCCGGATGTTGGCGGGGGGTCAGGTAGGTTACTTGAGGTTACTCAGTGTTACACAGGTGTGGCTGATTAGAGGGGAGAAGCAAACAGTTTTCGACTGTGCTTGTGCTTGTGCTTGTGCCTGTGCTTGTGCGTTTTTCTGTTTATAATTTATGTGGACAAGTATTAAGTATGTGGTTTCCTCAAGAAATTAAATGAACATTATTATTTTAAACGCAAAGGAAGTTTTCGTTGGTTTATTGCCTTGCCCGAGTACACGTCAAAACAAAATTAATCAGCATCCAGTAGTGGCTACAGGACCAGTCACTACAGGGGCCAAATAAAGCTCCAAAGTTATACACAACATTTTGACAAGGGAAAAAGGAATATTGTCATTTTTCAAAATTGTGTAATTAGATATTTTGCATACTGGGGTCCCTAAACAGTCTTGGAATTCCATGAATGGGGTCTGACTGTAAAACCGAGAGTTGACAAACATATACTCTTTAAACTGTTTCAATTCTGCACACAATTTGACCAATATTTAATTTGATTTTAACTTAACTTGCAGCAATATCTTCAATCAGTGTTTGATTTTACCTTTCTGTAATCATTCATTGGGGGTGTTTTTTTGCCCCAGGACACATATGTGGCTACCTCTGCTTTTCAAAATAAGAAAACAAGTAATAAATAAGTGTTATGATAAATAATGACATGTATAGTGATATGGGTGTGTGGATGAGGGGCCCACTTTGGAAACTATTTCCTAACAGCTGGCCTGGTTATTATTGTAAAGCACTTTGTAACTTTGTTTTGAGAGGTGCTGCATAAATAAAGTTATTATAAGCCTGATATCATTTCTGTGCTTTTAAATAACTAAAAAAATGTCAATGCGTGACCTTAAGGGTATTTTTAAACTGCAGTACTGCAGCTTCCCCTCCACTCAGACACAAGTTCTGCTTATTGTTTCCTCCTTTGGATGTCTGAGCATGATGTATGTGGACAGTTTGACACCTAAAGGCTGCTGTCACATTCATGTGCAGAAGTTTCTCCGTGCTCACCTTAAATCCAAGTTTAAGATGTCTATGTACAAGATGATTTTGTAACACCACAACTACTTTGGAAGCCAGTCGTGGAATGGACTTAACAGCAGAGTAGGAGGCAGCTTGTGTTCAGCAGTTAACCTTTTGAAATGGAAAATATTTGCACGATCATATCTGGATTTTCCAGTAAGAGACGAGGAGGTCTAGATGTGACTTAGGGATTTTTAATGAGGTGGAAAACCACATTAATATTCAAACAGGGCAGTGGTGGGGGAAGTTTTGAAATCCCTTGTAAATACTGGCCTGCTCAAGTATAACAGAGTAATTTTATATGTCCTGAAACATGTCTGGGATGTAAATAGCCTACTTTTTTTGGCAATGCTGAAATATTAAAGTGGCAAAAAAATGGACAATACTGAAATTTAAAAATAAATTGCACAATAATTACTAAGTTACTTTGGTCGTTTTAAGGAGCCCTGGAGGTCCCAGTAACATTTTCTGTGAATTAAAACTGATATATTTAGCCTATATGAACCGACACTGACACCTTGTGTTAGGAAATGAACATTTCACATTAACTCCTTTTATCCTTTCGCACATTAGCCGCCCTGTAGGAATATATATAGCAATATATACATTTACAGTGTTGTTGCAAAGGCTCATATTTAGTGCAAAACGTTTTAATGTGAATAAAAATGTAAAGTTTTATGAATGGAATGAAAGCACAGCTAAGCCCCGCCCCCTTCTGTCATGAGCTAAAGTACACGGAAGTGGATCAGAACTTGTCAACAAGAAAGGCCGACTGACATGGTAACGTACTCGGCTCCTGTCCTTTTTTTAATCATTTAAACATGTTGTTGCCGCTTCTGACCTACATGTTGGGGTTTATTTGGGTACTTAAGTCCTCCATGAGGTGCTCGGAAACATTTCCTTGTGGTGTCGCCGTCTAAAAAAAGCGTTTAAACGAAGACAGAAGTCAGGATGTTAGCATTAGCCGTTAGCTAGCATGTAGCTAGCTATTAAAGCTCTTGTGACTGAGGACGGCGAGCAGCTGCTCCCTCCCTCTCCTTCAAACCGAAACTATCCCATATCGTTATCTCAGGGCGTTATCTTAACTTGTTTGGAGCTAAATGAGGTATTCAATGACATGTAGTCGATATCCTGATAGTTTAACTTTACTGGGAAAGGCTTTGAAAGTGTTTGTGTGGCGAGGATTTCTTCTCGGAAATGCTAACGCTCCTGGCGTCATTGTTGAGAAGATTATAGGAAGGAAGTCACAGTGTGTGTGTTGTGTTTGTGAGGAGACACAATGTTCAAGATCATAATATAATGTCAACTTCAAGAGGCCCCGCTAACAGTATTCATGTATTGTTTCTCTGCCCGGATATATAAAAGTAATGGATTGATTATGGATGTCAGTTTGTATATGTCATTGCTCACTTTGTAAGGGCCAGAGCTGTTGTCCTTGATTAAAATAGCTGCACTCGATACTCAATCAGTCACATTTATCCATCTGATAAATACATCTTTAAACTGCTTCAAGTGGGAGCACTTGAGCAGACCAACCAAAATTGACTGAAACTAAGTGCCATTAAAAAAATAGGAAGACTGCAAAATGGATTTGGAGTCAAGGAAATTTATTGAATTAGAATAAAAGTTAAACCCCACGATATGATATCATCAATATACTAATGTCACATTGCAGTATTATTGCGATTTTAATGGTTTTGTGATATGCTGAGTATTGCGATGACATACAGGCCATAGGGTTACAGTGGTATGAGAGTTATACAGTATGATAACCGTCTCAGAAAATATTGTAGTTTCATGGTATTACAGAATTTATATCATCATCAATCAGAGTGACCCTTAAAAAATGAAAATGGAAGAGTTAATTTTGGTTGAACAAATGTTATATTACTATAATTGAAACTTGAAACTATTTTGTCAATGGAAGTATGTGTACAAAGTCTCCCTTTGACTTTAAAATAAAGGGGAGATTTTCCATCCATTTTCTTTTTAAATATCACAGATAAGCAAATGTACACGTTATGATAACCATCAACTTTTATATAATGGATAAGCAAATGTACACGGTATGATAACCATCAACTTTTATATAATGAATAAGCAAATGCACACGGTATGATAACTGCCAACTTTTATATAATGGATAAGCAAATGTACACGGTATGATAACCATCAACTTTTATATAATGAATAAGCAAATGCACACGGTATGATAACTGCCAACTTTTATATAATGGATAAGCAAATGTACACGGTATGATAACCATCAACTTTTATATAATGAATAAGCAAATGCACACGGTATGATAACTGCCAACTTTTATATAATGGATAAGCAAATGTACACGGTATGATAACCATCAACTTTTATATAATGAATAAGCAAATGCACACGGTATGATAACTGCCAACTTTTATATAATGGATAAGCAAATGCACATGGTATGATAACCATCAACTTTTA